GGGGGCGCACGCGCCCGTTGGGAGCGCTGAGGGGGCGCGCGCTGAGGGGTCGCAGGGCGGCCGTTGGGAGCGCTGAGGGGGCACGCGCTGAGGGGTCGCAGGGCGGCCGTTGGGAGCGCTGAGGGGGCACGCGCTGAGGGGTCGCGGGGCGGCCGTTGGGAGCGCTGAGGGGTCGCGGGGCGGCCGTTGGGAGCGCTGAGGGGGCACGCGCTGAGGGGTCGCAGGGCGGCCGTTGGGAGCGCTGAGGGGGCACGCGCTGAGGGGGCGCGGGCGGCCCTTGGCGAGGGCTGAGGGGGGAGCCCACACAGCTCCGAGCACCACCGGCCGTCTGTGGCGGGGCCCCCCGCTCAGCGCCGCCCGCCTCCTCAGGGCCGAGGGGAAAAGCCGTCCCGGGAGGGCGAGGAAGGACTGCGACGGGGCGGGCAGGGCAGCGCGGAGCCGAGGAAGCGCCCTGCCACCCGCCCGCCGGCGACGAAAGTCCTCTGGCAGGGACGGGCCCTCCGGCCTGGAGGAAGCCGCGTGAATACAGGGACATTACCGCCGCCACAAGAGTAATCCTGTCGTTTTTTAGTTTGCCTGGTTCACAGCGATGTTCCCGGGGTGCCGGGCCCGAGCTGACGGCTGCACCGCCGGTTTTCTCGCTGCTTGACCCCTAAAAAGTTTCGAAGAGAAGAGAGACCGTGCATAGAGTGAATTTAAAGCCACTTCCACAGCTCCTGGCTGTTGGCTGCCTCTCCTGGGCACTTAGTAAGAGGAGGTTTACTGATGGACTACCACCTGATGCCTGAAAACAGCACTGAGCAGAGAGTACAGGCTACACGGAGCCAGTTTTTCTGTGGATTCCTACAGCTGCTGGCAGAGCAGGCTCCCAGGTCAGTTAACTTCTGTTAAGTAGTGTCATCCATCAATAATATTCTGGTCTTAATACTGGAATCCAAGTTTGTAGTACTGTAACCAAGCCTTCCAGACACATTTAACTAAGGCCGAAGAACATCAGCTAGCACCACATTTAATGGTCACAAACATGTGAAACATTTAAGCTCAAACATCTTTATACTGAGTCTTAAATATCTGGTTTGCTAAGGGTGAAGAGCATCTCAAATCAGCAGCCAGCATGGCTCATCTGGTGTGTGTTAGCCCAGAAATTCTGTGGTGCACCTGAAAACCACCTGTGGGGAATTTTGTTACACTAAGGCCACATGAGGTGTTACTTCACCAATTACTTATCTCAGAGTTGAATGAGACAAACAAAAATCCTAATTTATAAGAATCATTTAAACACCCAACCCTATAAATTAATATAATGACGCAACTGTTGCTTCTTGTACTGAAGCAAGGAACTGTCATCTAGAGCAAAAATGGATTCAAAAGAAACAGGGTCAAATCATAAGCCATATTTTGACTGGGGCAAGAAGAAAGGGGTATTTCCAGCAGAGAAGTACTACAGCGTAATCTCTAACAGCATATAGATAGTCCAGTCCTATCATAGAAGGAGACTATGCTGCTGAGCACTTCCAGCTTATCCAGATGGCAGCTGATTCAATTCCTGAAAAGGGAGGCAGATTCAGATGTTACGCTTTGTGCTCCATCTCTGGGTTGGAACAAAGATGTACCCTTTTAAAATTAGTGCTGAGACTGCGAAAGGGAGCTTGGAAACACAAGGGATTTTTTCTGTCTCCTGATAGAAGAACTGAAATCTCATACATATTACACATATATATACGTATAAAGTAATTTCTGTTATTTACATTGCCATTCATGCTCTGTGATGCAGTTCTAAAAATGCATTCCCCTGTTCTTTTCCCAATCCAACCTGGGAACTGAGAATTACTTGGTCTTTTGAGTAAAACTTGTTAAGCCGGGCTACTTTCTGGACCCTCAAGACCCAATATTATCTTTTCTGTGGGAGCAAATGAGGAGAGAATCAGGGCCCAAAGCCCTTTAAGAAGGGGGTCTAGATAGATTTAAAATACAAGAAGTTTCAAAATAAGATTCATTTGAAGGGGAAGCGTCACAACTAGTCAAAGGCGTGCTCACAGGGCAAAACTTGTACAAACAAGTACCAGGAAATCAGACAAGGTGGAAAAGATCCAAAACTCAAGGAGACTTACCTGGTGAATTTATTTTAAAAGGATGCATTATCAGGCTTAACTTTTCTTGTGAAATCCTAATCAGCTTCCACAAACATCTAGGATCTAAAAGAAAATCCTCTTCACAATTATATTTAAAACATAAATTTGTCTTTCTTGTAACTTAACACCATATCAAAAAAGGTATTTCTGCTGAAACCTACAATAGCACCAGGGCGTAAGACCACAGTTTGGTAAAATTATCTTCACAGGATACTCTAGATAAATGAAGTGGTTTAAAGCACAGAACTCTCCCCTGAAGAACCAAACAAGCAATTCTCTAATTCAGTTTCCACCCACTCGGGAAATTAGGCAGCTAATATAGACTCAGGTGTGAGTGGTTTGCAGTGATGAAGTGGTACCTCTTTCCTGGATAACACAGGTGTGCACTATTACCATCAAGATGCTTCAGTACCTGAACATAGCTCACAAATGAAGAGCAGGTGATTAAAGCTGAACCCAAAGGCTCAAGCACCCATGTTGCTAAGGTGAGGGAGATGTTGTGAAATGTTTTTAGCCATGTTACAGTCTCTGGTAGCTTGGGAGGGGTATGAGAGGGAACACTTTCTAGTTGTAGCTGTCTCACCTTAGGGATGTTGTGTACGTTTAAGTTTTCTAATATGTAAATGCAATCTAGGAGCTGTGTCTGTTCTCTGCTAGGTTTGCTCTGGGAGTATAGTTCCCTTTCCAAAGTCAGAAGCCTTTTCAATCCTGTAAATAATACTGTTTCTCCTCAGGAACAAAGTGTTATTTCTGAATATTAAGCTTTATTTCTCCATGAATGTCTGAAAATAGATAAACATATAAGACTGCCAGAGCTTTTTAAAATAATCACTCTCTAATGGGTATGCCTGAATTGGAAAAAAAATTGTTGTGGTTTCCTATTTTATTTTTTCCCCATTTCCGAGGTATTAATTGGAATCAGGACAGGATTTTTTTATTCCCTTTGACCTAGTAACTTCGATACTAAAACAGGAAGAGATGAGGGAAAGTCTCAAATGGCTACTGAGAGATAACTTCCTTTTAAAGCTTTCAACTGCCTGTCTTCATTGGCCTGCTAAGTCATACTATCCAAATCTCTTTTTGGTTAATCTATTATTTCTTTATTATCCAGAAGTCTAACTTAAAACCTGATTTGCCTTGGATGGTAGCCAGTGATTGTCTTACACTCCAGTCCTCATAGATGTTACCAATGTTAAGCCAACATTTGCTGTTGGCGTTGCCATTATCTCCTGTAATTTGAATCCACCAGGAACACAAGAAGACAGCACGCTTAAAAAACACACGTATTTTTAAGATGGTGCTGTCATTCTCAGACAGAATGTATATTAAGCTGTAATGAAGTAGACAATAGAAACTGTTTAAAAAAAAAATCTTAATAGCCAAAGTGCATATGCAAAGCCAACCAATTTGAACTGCAGCTAGTGCAGAGTCTAGAGTTCAATGATGCTGCTGGAATCCCCACATTGCAGTATCCCTGACAAGTACTTTCTGTCATCTCCAGCGTTTTCTCCTGGATGATGACCTGGCCTCAATTCATGATGTATCTCATCAGCACCCTGCAAAACTCAGAACAGTGTAGTGTCTCCTGTACTTACACAGGCTGTAATGTACCCCCAAATGTACCTTTCATTTGCTTCCTATGCAACCGCAAATCAGATACAGGATCGCGTATTACCTCTGAAGTGGTTCAGATCTGTAACGATGCTAAAAGACTAAATTTCTATTGGATTGGGTAAAAGTGCCGGAGCTGAAGCAAGAGAACATTTCAGGAGTGAATAGTTGTTGGGGAGGGGAGAATAGATTTAGTAGGCTTAAATAAGACAACCTCAACAAGGTGAGGCTGTAGACCTGACTGATGTGTATAATTGAGAAAGGGGAACCTTTGGAAAGAGCTAGAAGTAAACAAGAAAAGGACGATTAAAGAATAATAAAAATACAGAAGTGATCATGAAACCTTGAATAGGATGTTACTAAGGACAAGCACTAATCTGAACAATCTAAATCCGAGTGTGAGTGAATTGTATTTGTATGTGATAGCTAACTTTTGTGCATGAGATACAGATAGAGGTAACAGATTAGCTTGGTTCTGTGCTCTGAGTGGGGAGAAGATCTGAATGGATGGGAGTTGATCAGGTTTCTGCTTCTGTATTTTCTCTTCCAGAGCCCTATAGTTTTCTTGAGTCTACTTTTATCTGCCAATTATTTAGAAAATAAATCTAGGCATAAACACTCACATTTGGTATTATAATAACAATTTCAACTCTGACATCACCTTCTTTGTTTTCATTCAACATTTATAGCAATGATACAGTATACCATATCATTTAAAGGCACAGAAAGAACCAAGCAGAGAAGGCAACTTTATGTATATCATTTTTGGAATGGTTAACGTAGCCTCCCCTCAGTTTGGCTGTGTAATGCCAGGCCTCCTTCCTTTCTTTCTTTTCCACTGGCAGATAGCAAGGAGCATTTCGCAGCAAATCTCTCATTACACTGAAAATGGTGGGTTAATATATTCTGTGTGTACTTGTGAGTAGCTGCTCTTGATGGAGAGCCACCCAGAGCACTGTGAGAAGTTGTTAGCTGGCTGGCTCGCCTGGGCCCGGAAGCTGCCTCATGCAAAAGGTACAGGCTGCTCCAAAAGTATTGCCAAGGCTGGTCCTACATACCAGTCCAGGTGTAGAGGTTGAGCTGTGTAATAGAGTACAATAGCATGTATGCATATTCTTGGAATATAAATGGTTATGTTTATACAAACTGTTTAGAGGACCATTAGTGGTATGTAGCAGTGTAACAATGTGAGGGACGTGCACCTTAGAGCCAAAGGCAAATTGCTACAGCAAGTGGAATCACAATTAGAGTTGTGCTTTCTGGTAATAGATCTAATTATCTAGCAGTAAGTTCTTCAGAATCTGGACCTAGTACAGATTGTGAGTTATTCACTCTTTTGTTGCTCAGCTACCTAACACCTTGGCCACCCACTGAAGGCAGAGGGAAGGGATTTTGCCATTTGAGTTCAGTGACAACAGGTTCTTACCACTCCACTGCATTTACTCCCTTCTCTTCCCACCTACCCTCCCTGGGTCGGTTTCTTTTCATAGTATTTTTTATATCTGAATTATATGTACTTTCAGCTTGTATCTGATTACACCCGTCAGAACTCAGTTCAGGCACCCAATTGTTTTCACAAGAAACCTAAGGTCTTCCCATTTCATGACTTCAGCTTTACAGCCTCAGCAATGTTTCACCGTTAGCTAAGGCAAACAAGAACAGCTGTTTGATTCTTGTTGTCTTTGTCACTTTGTTTCGTTAATAGTAACTTTATTTAAATAAATGCTCAGTTCAATTTCTGAGGTCACTGTGGGGCAGGTGTACTGAATAAGACCAATGTTAACTCTGTAGAGAAAGCAGAATTTAGTTGATGCTGTATTACTGCTATGGCTGTGCTGTAGCAGCTCTTTAAGGCCCCCTTAGAGGAAACAAGTTCCAGACAGCTAAGCACTGTGCAAATGTATAGGGAAGAGATTTCCTCTGCTGCAGAACTTTAAACATCTAAATAGATAGTGGAAAACAAACTATGGAAGCCCAAAGCGGCACTCTCATTGCTGTTTGAGCTCATGCAGTGAGTCATTTAAGTCTTCTGCTCAACTGTTGGTAGAAGTACTGATTTCCTGAACTGTTTCTGTTGCAAATTTTAAGCCTTTACCATAATTTGTGATATTCTCCTTAAAATTCCAGTCCTAGAATCTCTGCTTATATGGCTAGTTTTATATCAGGTTTTGATGAAAACTTAAAACTTATGTTTAAAACCTATGTTTAAAACCCCAAAGTATACACATTCAAATGGTATATTTTAAATCAATGTGATTCTCTTTAGGCAGATCCTGAGGGTTTATGGGACTTTATAATTTTGTTATGATAGGGGGTTAACAACAGTCAGTGGTTAGTCACAACAAATCACTACTGTAATGGATCAGGCTTTCTAAAAATACAAGACTATAAAAGAATATTTGGAGGGCAGAAGGAAAAGCAAGTTGTCACATGGATCTGGTTCCATAAAAGCTTGTGTTCTCTACCTTTGCTCCAGAGCTGTGAGGACTAGAAACTTTTTTAAGGAAAGCATTCTGTACTTAAAGCTGCAACATCAGAAACAGTACAGGTGCTATCCAAGATTGTGATAAGATGCAACAGGATGAGGCTGATGCAAGAGGCAAGAGAATATGCCATAACAAGAAAAAGCCCTGTGACAGACCAGGATTTCAGAAAAAGAGAGAACCTCAGTCTGTTTGCTACTCAACACAAGAAAAACACTGAGTGATAGTAGTGGAGGAAGCAGAGTGTTCTCCTTATTCTAGTTTCTTTCTCAGTTCCCCTCTTGATTTACTGATTGGGAGCTGAAGCCTGGGTGATAATGGCAGAGAGTCTTTTATTCTTTCTTTAACTGTGTAAGAGCATGGCGCAGAGGCTTTTAAGCTATAAATAAACATCTTGGCACTGAAGCCAGAAACCAGTATGACTATGCAATTATATTGCTGTTCCTAAGCACGTTTTCTTGGATGCTGTTGTGCTTGCATGGCGTGCCTTGCTTTCAAGGCTGAGAATCCCCACACAGTGCTGTAAATACATTACCAACATGTACTTGTAGAGGCTCAGGGTCTCTGCACTGCTGAAAGTGCATGTGACTTTTCTCACCTGAGGGCAGGGAAATGGAATTGCAAAGTCTTCAAATGTTGCTGTTTACCTAGACGTCCAAATAAGAATATGAGACTACTGTTTAAGCCCTTGGGTGTATTTACAACAGCTCTTCCCAACTTTAAGGATTGTGCTGCCAACAATTGGCTACACCCAAAGACACTCCCTTAGATATCATAGTGAGAACTCAGTGCTGCTTGTATTCAGATCAACAGCAAACTCTTGTTGACCTACCTGGGTGTAGGGCTGGCAGCTGAGGGAGGATCTCTGCCTTCTCTGCAGACTGGGAAAGCATTCTGACAGTGGGCTCATGTTCTTGTAAATAGTAAGGCTGGACAGCATCTGCCAAACTGTTCACATTCATTTTCTTGAAGCCAGACTTAGCTTTGCAAGCTGTATATTGGTCTGCAAGAAGATAAAGTGGGTGTCCTGGTGACTTTATGAATGCTTCTGGGGAATGCAGCTGAGTCTGCTGGAGTTCTGACAGTGGTCTAGAAAGGTTAGAATGATGTTATTGTGACAAAAATGCTATTCTTATTCTAAGGATACAGAACAAAAGCCTAAAGAAATTAAGATTGAAAATATGAATGTTAGGATGTGTCTGAAACACTGAGAGTCTCATTTTCCCAACAGTTCTTATCACTAGATAAGTGAATATGCCCACATTATCACGTATAATCTGTATGTCCCACACTGGGACAATTCATATAGCCCTGGAGCCCACTTTGTCTTGCTCCATCCTATAAGAATACTTGGAGGAGGTGGTTGTGCCATTAGAAGAAACTCATCTGTCATCGGATGATACTACAGTACCTGCCTGACTAGAAAAGTTGGACACCCTCGTATAGTACTTGCTATTTTCAGAACATTTGCCCCTGTTGACTTCAGTTGCAGATGTAAGTGTTGTTAGTACTTCTGCAATCAGACTTCAGTGTCCAAGCCAAGTACCTAGAAAATGAGGAACACTGACTACCTGTGAAAAGTTTGGTTTAAGTGATGTGACTAGCATCACACAGCAACTTTGGCACAGAAGTGGAAACATTACAGCCTGGTGAGGATTAAGGATATAATCTTGTCTCTTCCAGCAGTTACCTGCTTGTTTTTTACAATCCTGCCAGCTTTTGTCAGGAAATTCATGGAGGCCCTATGGAAAGTGGTTTCTTTAACATACAGTTCTCTAGAGCAGCCCCATCCTAACAACTCAGCTTGATACCGATACTCTGAAGTAGCACCTTTCATGCAAAGCAAATAAATCTTGCTTAGATTATAAACTTAAAACAATCTCCTCTTAATAAGAAGTTCTCATCAATAGATTATTACTAGTAGTAATATAATCAACCCCATTTATATTATAAAAGACAAACCTGTGGTTAGAGCAGAAGTCTCAGAATCTAGGTTCTTTATGTAGACTTCCAGTGTAACTTCAGAAAAGAGAAACTGTGACCATTTATGTTAAAGGCTGGAGAAAGAGTGGGAAGAGCTAAAATACAGGTAACAGCCAGTGACGAGCTCTTGTTCTATAGTGCATATAATCCTTAATTTATTTTACACTTTGCAAAAAAATGAGCAGCACATTAAGCAAATAAATCTCCAAATCTTAGTTTTGCTGACTCGAATAGCAAGACACTTATTTTGGTCCTCCATTGACGTGAAGTCATGTGATTTTTCTGGCTGTGTGAAACACCTATTGTATGAAGCATTAAAACTGAATAGCTGCCACAAGTCTGTTTCCTGATCTGCCAATAGCTTCATTAGGCTGTGCCTTTTAGAAGAGCGGCTTTAAAACCTTGAAAGAGTCTTGAATAAACTTGAAACTGGAAGAGACAGGGCCAGATTTAATCGAAGTATGTATGACTCATCTTCCGCTCTTTATCAATATTTTGTGTGACAAAATCACATAAACAGCTTCTCTAGTTGAAAAATACTGGCTCGCTGAAAATGGAGCTTGTGATTCCCTCTCTAAAAGATGCTCTGGTTATGAACAGCAGAAATTGAAACAGAAATGCTGAGCAGTAAGGTAAACCCGAAAACTGGACTACCAAGCTATAAAACTCTTGACACCTTTTATCACGATGACCTACATAAAAAGTCCACTCCTACTAACTTTCATCCAATATGACCTCAAACTGTCAGGCACCAGAATTCTCATCCTCAAGATTTTCAGAAGAAAAATATTTCTGAAGGCATTGGTGGTCTCCTCTCCCCTTGCCCCTCCCCAAATAGGAAGTATATGCATGACTCATTAAAAACTGTAAAGTCGTGAAATAATCAAGTAGAGCTGCAAATGAGGATGCTGTCATCTCTAACTGTCAGGAGCCTCATGGTTTTCTGAGGATTCCTGCAGCATTTCTCAGACTGTGATTCATGTCTTTAACAAAACAGGTCAGAGATTTCGGTAGAGAAGCCTGATCACATGCAGTGCATGCCCAAACCTGTTACAGTTCTTTACCCAGGGGCCAAAACCAACCACAAGCATTTCTATTTCGTCACCTTACCTCTTAACAGAAAAAAACACCTATTTGGATTTATTATGTTTGTTATTAAGTTCTCTTAATAGCTATGCAAAATGCCTTTTTTCCCATGCATATATCAAAGCCATATCATCGTGAAAAAAAATTTTAAAAATCAGTTCTGACTCCTTTTAACTCCTGCATGTGCTTCTGTGCCAAGACTGCTATAAGGGCCTGCGCTAGACTCTTATTTAAAAAATGTGCAACTGACAATACTTTTCCAAATTCTCACTGGCCGTTTCTAGAAAGGTAAGTTCCCACTGATTTTGAGTTCTAAATCTTTTTCACTTTGGCTTGCATGGAAATGCTGGAAAGATACATTAAAGAACAGACACAACAGAAATAAAATGAGAGTGGGGCATACAGAAAAGTCACATCTAATTCATGGCAACCACCCAAAACTTAGTCCTGCCCTGAAATTCATATAAGAAATAGATGTATTCTGGTTTTATCATCTAGCTTAAAAGGAATTTGAAAATTTCAACAATTTCCAAAGTTTTCAGATTTGGTAATATACATGTCAGACATTTGTTAGGGAAGTACTTCTCCTGAGCTGTGAACAGCAGCTCTGGAAACTCCAGACTTACCGACATATATCTAAAAAACCCTAGGCAGCATGGCAGATTTCTACATCAATCTAGACTTGTTTAATGAAGACAGAGGAAATTCTGAGTAAATGGAGTCAAGATTTATCAGTGTCTGTCTTGGCCGCACAAGAAAGGAGACAAACTTGATACAGAACAAACAAAAAAATCCCCAGTGGATTTCCATCTAATCCTTTGCATTAAACACTAACCCACACAGGCAACCAGGTACACTACTCTGCCTGCAGGTTTTCCACAACAGAACTGAATGCCAAAGACCTGTAGTACAAACAGAAGGTCACAGAGCTAAGGAAATTACTCTTGAAATAACAGCTTTTTAAACATTAAATAGATTACCACAGAGAAGAAACAGCATGCTTGGGGATATCAGTAGAGGCATATTGGCACTCAAGCCACCTGATGAAGATCTCATCACCTGATAGGAGGCTACTTAGGAGTCACATGACAGAGAACCTGAAGAGCACTAATAGGAGTTGAAGATGTAATTCTCTCTAGCTGCTACAGTGTGTGATTTATCAGGAAGATAGTGATAACAGAAAATACCTTCTTTTTTTCTCTACGTACGTAATCTTTGAGGCATTTAACAGCAGGGTGAGTCTGAGTAAAGGTGCTTGTTCTTAGGGGCTGTGTTCTTTTTTTTTTTTCTTTCTTCTCCCTCAAGAGTTGTAAATGCCTTTTTTTTTTTTAACAGAAATGTGGTGCGATGAGAAATCTTTGGCAAAGCCTTTCTGTTTCTGAAGAACTCATGTACTTTGTGATTTTGTGGGAAAGAATGTGTTTAGGTTCCTGAGGGATTTAAGGGTAGGTTCTGTGGACAGAATGTAAAATTGAGAGCCTGGCTGCTAGAAGAGATTGTCTTTACCCTGTGAGTGTTTTTGGGCTGCTTCTCAATAGGATTCACCAGAAGTGAGCACTGGTGAAAAGCGCAGCAAGCTTGTGTCCAGGGAAAGCCTCAGCCTAGAAAATGAGTAAAGGGGTTGAACTAAGAGAGTTGATGGGATATTTGGTGATAGCAGGAGCAACGCAATGCAGACTGATGTGATTTTCTGCTTGTTGGGGAAAACAGATAGCTGACTTTGGGAGTCTGGAAAATACTTTATTATGGCTGTCTGTATGGTGCAAGGGTTGTTTGCAGTTATATGGACAGGCTTTTTAGAAATGCTAGAGAGGAACTGACCGTTGTGGTAAAACGGGTAACAGTGACGCAGGGACATTCTGCAGTCAAATGTAGGCTGTGACGTAGAAAACCAGAAAGCAGAACCTCCATACATCATTTTCTGAAATGTGCTTAACATTGCATACAGTGCCAGTCAGATTTGCAGAGCGAGCTTCAACATCCAGCTGAGAAAATGACATCAGAAAGAAAGTTTGAGAGTCATTGGAAAGTGGCTATGTAAAATGTGAGAGGTTACAGCAAGTGCCTGCCACACTAGGGATCCTGGTCCTCCAATTGCTTCAACTGAGGACAGGCCCAAAGTCTTCCCTACCACAGAAACCAATGTGGTAGAAGCTAACAGATCTTGATTTTCATTTGCTGTAGGGTCAGGACACTGTAGGGTGTGATCCACTACCCACAAACTGGGTTGTAGCCAGAGTTGTACCATTGTGTTTCTTTCATCAGCTAATACAGAAAGACTTCTAAACTTTTTAAGAAAACGAAGACCAAAGGGTTCCTTTATGGCTCTTCCAAGTAAGTTCACCTGTTTTCATTGATCTGAAATGGATATTTATTATCAAACCAATATGGTACTGTTAAAGACCTAAAATTTCTCCATAATGTTAGTTACTAGTTAGAGAACATCAAATGCAATAAGTTTATGAGATCTGCAATCCACCGGTTGGATTCACTGTATAATGCATTGTATAACTCATAGAGTAGGTAATAACCTGTGCAGATAAAATTAGTGCTAAGGGTAAAGAGAATCAGAGATTTCTTTCTTTACTGCATACGTGACAGTCTTGTTTACAGGTATGAGAGCTAGCTTCAGTGCTGAGTGCATAGTGTGTTCGTTACAATTTGATGCAAACCATTTCAATTTTGCCAGTGCAGATACAAGTGTCCAGCATCGGCAACTGTTGTCATATTTGTGGTAAGGTCTGTTTATTTTGTTTGCTGCATTGTTTTTCCTTGTGTTTTAATATAAAACTAGTTTTAACAGCGGAACAGTCCCTAAAACCCTGCTCTCAAGATTAGTTCAAATTTTTAACAGAATAAATCAATGATGTCTTCATAAAATACATTGATCTGAAGCCTAACATACTTAAAACCCAACATCAATGCTTTATGAAGGGTATAGTGTGTATGTATGGAAGGGAGGGAAGCTGTTGCTGCTATAGTATTAGAGCTACATATAGCTAGGCTGTAACTTCCAACCTTGATGTGCTTTGGCCTCATCCCCTGTTTGGCAGGGGAGGACTACCTCAAAAGGTGATTATGAGGCTGTACCTAGTAACGTTCTTATTTTTATTATTCTTTATTTAGGGGGGGGGGGGGGGGGGGGGGGGAAGAGCATGGGCAAATCAACACTGCCTCCAGCTGAAATTCCAGTAGGTTTCACTAAACAAGGTATGGGAATCCATGTAGAGTAAGGAAAATAAAATATCGTTGCTCATTTGGTGAACAGTGAGTTGCAGAGGGAGGAATAAAAGATTACATCATGTAGATAAAGGCAGTCATGGTGTATTTGGATAAGATGCAGGTGTTGTTTCATGAAATAAGGATATACAACCTACCTAAATGCTGACATTCTTGTGGCTGAGTCTCTGATATCACAACCATAATGTTCTTTATATAACTACCTGCACAAAAATTGCATCTTAACTGTATAAAAAATGTAACTGTATTAAACTGTATTAAGTAACTTAGAAAGGATTTAATTTAAGTTAAATCTGGTCTTACTAGCTCCAGCTCTGTGGCAAGCAGAGTCTCACAGGTCCTCACAAGTATATACTATCTGGGTTTTACCACTGATCTGGTCAGTGTCTTCACTGATCTTTCTCACTGTCTTCACCCTGAATACTGAATCACAATCCATAAAACTAAATTTTATGGGTTGATTTTTTTTTTTAATTCCTTTTTTAGCTCTTGCCACTTGTTCAACATTAAAGAGATACAAAGTAGAATGATATACTTGTAAGGGAAAGCTGCACAGTTTTGCTTTTAGATGTCAAAATAAGCTCATGTAACTACTAAAAATCCAACCATAAATTATGTTCTGAAGAAATTACAACGTATCTCTCTGCCCTGAGAAAGACAAATTCTTTCATGCCCTGAAGAGCGTTAACTCTACTCTTTTAGACGCTGAACCTGATCTAATTCCTGAGGGAGAAGAGGGGAAATCTTTGGAAATTAGAACATTTTCATCCTAGAATTTTGCAAGCAGAGGGAGGATGTTGCTTTTTTTCTCTTGATTCTGCCTGTCCTCCCACCACGAGAAGGAGGAAGAAATATTTTTTTTTTGTGTGTGTGTAGGTGGGTTTTTTGTTGGGTTGGTTTGTTTGTTTTGTTTTTATGGTTACAATTGTTTGCAAGAGGGAACCAGGAAAAATAAATAACTGTAGAGCTACTGCCACCTACAGCCTTGCTGAAAAAATGCCAGCTTCTGGGGAAAATGCAAACGTTGTTATAACTGGGTCTTAAATGTCCACCCAGAGAACACAACCATATAATGCAAATGATTTAAAGTATATTTAGGATTCAACTAAGGATTCTGAAACGCCTTTCTGAAGGAGGTCTTCATCAGGTCCTATTTGCCTAGCCCTCATTGTGTGTTAGTTGATTATTTTTGCAAATACTAATGATTGACACCCTGAAAAATTCTCACTTTCTTTTCCCCACATTATGTGGTAAACCACTTTAATAGACACCAGATGTAATGAGGAATGAGTTACTGCTCATAGTAGTGATGAACACTGTTACTGAGCACAGGGGAGCTGCATCCCGAGAAAGAGGAGGGTTCCAAAATGCTTGCAAAAGGATCATGGTCAGCTCTACTGTAGCTGTCTCTCCTTCACTGAGGAAGCAAAAAGTTGAAGCAAGAGATGAACCAGAAGTAGAGTCCTAGTAGATTGTGCAAATAAAAACTGCAAAGAGTGAGAATTTAAAGCTATACTCCTCATCAAGTGCCTTGTTCCTGTTGGTAAAGAACAGTTTTTTCTTCTCCCTCTGCCCCATTCTTTTCCAGTGTCAGTTTTCAAATTATTTATTTGCAAAAATTCAGGAAAGATGATGTCTTTTGGGAAACTGTCGCTCACCTTTAGGGAGAAGAAGATACTGAAAACCACTCAGACCAGCTGGATGATTTATTTCCCTTGACCCTCCTCTTTAACCAGCCAATGTGATGAACATGTTTGGTGGTGGTGTTTATATCATTCTGTTGTGGAAGTAACACAGGCGCCTGGACCTATGTTTCATTGGTAATCTGGGACCAAACTTAATTTTTTGCAAAGCCTTTTTATTAAACATGTATTTAACAGCCTGGGTTGGTTTTTTTTAGGCTGCAATAATATTATGTTTCACTCCACTTGATGGCGATATATAGAAAGTATGGGCTAGTTTTCTATTAATTACAGGAGGTCTAGCTTCAGGTGTTTAAAGAGTTTGTCAGACTATAGCTGCCTTTTCAGTGTCTTAAAAATAGTGGTCAATCAAATCCAACTCACATGGTCCTAGTTAGTCATTTAGGCTTGAATTTGTCACTGAGTTTGGACAACGATTACTTGTAGATCTGTGTTCTTTACAAAATGAAAGCCTTATAGATAATCACAACATACAAATTGGAAATCAAAGGTAAGCCAACAGGACAGTGTTGGCTTCTGGCAGCAGTTTGCATAGGAACACTTGCTGTAGGTTTGTGACTCTGTTGTTGGAAGAAATTAGGTCACGATCAATTCAGACATCAATTGGTGAGGCATCTATGGCACTGAAGAGTCCTACAGCTCTGGATTGGATAGGAAGCTACACACTTGGAAAACATAATACTAGTTGGGAATTTGGCATCCTTCAGAAGTGTATTCAACCCATATCCTATATCCTTCTTTTATGGCACTGAAACAATTGTTGAGATTATATATGCAAACACAAGGATGATTCTCTGTGGTTAATGTGCTATAGAAGGATTTGGACAGCGGGAGTTCAGCTCCTAACTCTGTGACAGTCTGTGTGACCTGGAGCATGCAGGCCAAGGCCAATAAAAGGACTTAGACACATGGCTCCTATTGGAATTTAATGAGTATTAGACACATGAGTTTCATTGCAGATTTGTCCCTTAATCTGTTTGTGTCCAATTATTTAACCTGAAATAAGGATGGTGTTTAACGAGAGGGTCGTTGACACTGAAACAGTGGTGGTCTGTGCCCCAAGCTTGTTGGCGTTTAAGAGGCGTTTGGACAATGCTCTTAATAAAATACTTTAACTTGGCTTGCCCTGAATTGGTCAGACAGCTGGACTGGATGATTTGTTCTTAAGTCCCTTCTAACTGAAATACTGTAGTCTATTCTGTTTCTCTTCCATGCTGCAGTTTTGCCTTTTTATGTAAGCTCTTCGTTAAGGACTGTTTTTCACTGGTATGTGGAGAGACCAGCAGTATCCTAGTTTCAATGGACAGTAAGATAATTCACAGTGATCTGTAGGAGTAGTGATAATAACCACACCCAGCCACAGAAGAGAGTTAACAGCTTTCTGTTCTGTGCTTGAAACATATTTATTTCACTGACAAGGAGTGGAGGGGAAACTAAACATTTCCCAGAAAGTGAGGGCCTCCTGTTGTAGTTTTTGCTGGTGTCTAAAGTGTCTGAGTTCTCTCATGCTTCTATCAAATGGCAAATAATTTGTGGAAGACAAACTGGGAATGCTTTTTGAATTCTTATGACTCCAAGTGAAAGTAAAATAATTTCAGGAGTTTGGATTTTGGTGTTTCATACTGTAAATAAGTCACTCAGGACATTTTACTACATTGGTTTTACCTTACAAATCATAATGGGATGTCTTGCCCTTATTGTAACACTTGAATTTTTGCCGAGTGAAAGGGTGACGAGAATAGGTCCGGCAGAAAGTTCAAATCTCAGTTAAGTATCTTTTTGTTGGAAAAACATTCATTTAAACACTGCTTATTTTTAATGGTATCTTCAGTGATGGAAAGCTTCTGAGATTGGTGGCAAGGCAGAGAGTGTGTGTGGTTCCTGTAGGAAACTCAGACCATGCATCACAGAGACTTGTGTCTTGATGATGCCACGTTGCTTACATTTCTCTTTAGATGGTTAGGGTGTCCTTTGAGTGGCAGTAGTTCCCGTGAAGATTGACAAAGTATGATTTGATGATCACATATTTTAACATTACAGAAGAAGAGTCAAATAGAGTCAGACTTTTAATGTTGTTGCATTTTATATTTTTCATTAGGTATACACTGTAACTGTAAATGAATCCAAACTGAAAAACACATTTCTTCTGCTTTCAGATGAGATGTATATGTGAATTTAAAGCACATTCTTTCTGTCCTTTGTACGATATCAGAAAGATGCACTAAAGGGAAACAAGCTCAGCATTCAAATGTGATGGAAGGGAAAAACAAAACTAGAAAATACACATCCAAAATGTTTGCAAGTTCTTCAAATACAGTATCTACTTAACTAGATAGTGAAGAGAATGACATTACTTATATCCACTTTTTGAAACTTCTAAAATATTTCAGTAAGCTTGTACTGAGGACTTAAGGAAATGCATGATTATTTTAAGGAAAAATTGCTTACATTGACCATAGCATTCTTCAGCATTTAGACTTTGTAATTAGGCAATCAAGCCACAGTTTGACCAATATTAAAATTACTATTTTTAAGTACTATATTTTATTTGATTGGCAAAATTCATCATAAGAGGTATCTTTATCTGGCCTCTCATGTAATTATTCAGTAGCAATTTAGTGGTTTTTTCACTTCTCTCCAGTTAAGTGTTTTATTTTTAAAAACAAAGGCTTCAGAGACTCAGCTGGAAATTGAACCTTTATTCAATGATCACCAATTAGCACGTGTGAGGCAGCAGGAGCCTACTGTACCAGCTTGTGGAGGTTAGATTTCCTCAGATGTGTAAGAAAAAAGCATGTTCTGAGCCTTCCAGTTTTACAGCAAGTAAGTAGAAGCCATTGAGTCATTCCACTGTTCATCTAGTCTACACAGATTACGTAGTTTAAAGGGACAAGCATCCTAGTATATACTGGTCATTTTAATGGTACCATGATCTTACCTGGTTTCTCTAAAGGCTATTGGAAGCAAACTAAGAAAATTAACTGCCTATTTTTGTCTGGATTTGGAGCTTAGCCTTGTCATAAACCTGTGAATGAGAACCAGTGCATGGCAAGTTTTGCTGAGCGGAGTTCTGAATCTGGCCTACTGGAGCCATTCCTTGGGAACGTGATGTGCTGCTCTTCCTCTGAACCTCTTACAAAGGAAGGGAGGGATATGTCTTGCAGGTAGCACTATAAAACGCCTGGAAATGGCACCTACCACAGCTTGCCTGTTACTGGCACAGCAAACATCTCATGCTCAGACTCCATTGTGTCTAATTTTAATGTAGCGTAATAGGTTACAGGCTAGTAACGTTTTGCAGAACAAAAGAGTTTACATCAATCCCTCCCCCAGATCTACATCATAAAGAGGATTCAGTTTTTATCCCAGGTGAACTACTTGGGGAAGAAAGTATGAGACACTTCCCCTCTTCAGGTGTGCCTCCAAAACTACATATAATCTATAGCAGTGTAAGTTATTATGGCTACACCGTGGTTAGTCAGATTGACTTAGATCAACTGGGGAAACGGTCATGGCAAAGTTTTATGCTGACAACTGGGCATGATCCTTGATGAATTATTTATGCAAAAAATGGCTAGAATACTTAAGCCGGTGCAGGGCTGTAGGCTTATATTGAGACGTTTCTGGATTTTCTTCTTGTTCAGTTTTAGGAGATACATGGCAGAATACAACTACTATAAGTTTGTTAGAACAGAAGCTTTGTACTTTTAAAGAAATTCTAGAAATGTTGGACTGGACTGATACAGGACTTATTGGAAATTAAGAGTTTGACATGAATAATGTAAACCAAAACTGGTGCTGATTTATCTTCACATGCTGTCTGTAAACTGCGGTAGGTCACGTTGCTACTTTTGGGAGCAGCGGCAGACTGTTTGGGGGCGAGATAATGAGCTGGGGCAGTTATCTCATCATGTCTTCATATCAGTCAGAGCCCTCTGTGCCTGCTTACGACTGCTGCTGGTCCTTCTAAACACTGAAAAGACCAGAATCTGAAGTCTGTATGGGATGACTTAGGCAAGTGTGTGCTGATGTTTGTATTTTTCTGTGTCTTTGTCCTGTATTGATATTGCGAGTGCAGCTACCATACATGACTCAAATGGGATTTCTTGGCGAGGGGGGCGGGTAGGAACTTGCCTTGCTCTGTCCAGCTTCCAGTGCAATAGGATCCTAGTCTGGGATTTACATACTGCTATCAGAGGACAGTCTGGTACAGCAATATTCTAAGAGAGACAAATCCAGTTGCAAAATAAAAAACAGAATATGTATCATTAGTAATGTTGAAAACAAGGCATTTTTAGGGGTGAAATAACTAGTTGAACTGTTGTGATGCAACCACGTGCTGGTCAGTACTCCCTGTCTTGATTAAATACTGTACATTTAATATCACTGCACTTACTGTGAGTTCTGTTGTTCTTGCATTTCAAGCCTGGTGCACCTGTACCTGCGTTGAACTGTTAAAGCAGAAGCCACTGCCTGAGCACCATTCGAGGAGTTGCACACACACCACCACAGTCTTTAGCTGCTAAGACCACAGTCCCTTCACAGTGGGCAACTGCAGTGAGCTGACGGGTGCACCTTTCTACTCCACACACACACATATACTCTTGGGTGCACTTCCTCCTCCTTCAGGCTCGATCCTAGGTTTCCCTCACCAGAGTCTCAGGCATTGGATTTTATAAACTAATTAATTTAATTGAAAGGTACAGCAGCAAGGACAGCCCAGGCTGGGTGTCTCCAAAAACAGGGACCCTGAACAAAGAAATCCCTGAGCAATTACACCCTTGTAATCCATACACCCACTTTTCATGCACATTGCATGTGTCTTTTAGTCCAATCTTCTAACATCTTACTGTTGGGTTTGTTTGGTTGGTTGGTTTTTTTAATGTGTCCAAGAAGGCAGGCTCTTACCTTTTTGATTTGCAGTTTCAGGCAAGGGTTGGAGCCTCCTTATCTTCTGGGTTACGTGCCTTGTGCACCTGAACTCCCTGGCAGAACAGGGAGAACTGAAGAATCCCACACTCGGGAAAAACAATACCAAAACATCAATGTGATATCAATATCTTCTCCATACTAAAATACTAAACACAGCACTGCAGCAGCTGCTAGGGAAATTACTAAGAAAAAACCAACACATTAAGAGCAAGAGAACTGTAAGAATCGCCACCTTGCTATCTTTGGCTAACCTAATTATTTTTAGCAAACTTTCCATGCTGACATGAAAATTTTATAGGAAGTTTGTGTCAGGGAAATGCATGCTATTGCTTAATGCAAATATAATTACTCTGTGGGACATTTCGCGTGCTTAGCAAGTCCTTGTCCAAGGATGATTGTCTCAGCTTTTTAGTAGCTCTAACTTTCAGGAGTAAATCAGAGAAACTGTTATTGCTGCTTGAGTTAGAATGCTTCCTGATGCAAAACTGCCATCCAGGCACTATAATTGAGCCCTGATTTGAATGAAAATTGATGACAACAAGTAATTAAGCTGTAGGGTCCCCATAGAGAGTGCAAAGATCATTAGAGTCTATGGCAAGTGTCAAAGGAAGTCAGAGGTGATATCAGCAGATGCTGGTTAGAAAAGGCAACAGGTACCACTTCTGCCTCTTCCTAGCTCTGCAAAAAAATCTTTTCTGAGCATTATACATGTCCAAATACTGTTTCACATGCTGCAAATTATTTGTGCCAATGGATTATGTAATTATTTGGCCACATACAGCACTGCAAGATGTACATTAGTAACTGCATTTGTTATTTCATGTGAAAAGCTGATTAGAAAGAGCAAGCACAGTTGCAGAGCTAAAGTTTGTATCATTCTTTGCAGTTGCATGGTACCTTTCAGAATTATTTAATTTTTTATAGTTGGTAAAAGGAAAAAAAAAAAAGTGTGCTGGTATGAGATATAAAGCACTTCAAGTCAGTGAAACAGCAGTAAAACCAAGATAAGCTAAGAGCTCTTTCAGCAGTAAAGTATGTCCCATTTCCTAAGTGTGGTCCTTGCTTCCAGTAAGTATCTTTCAGAAGCACTTCCTTTCTCCTGAAGTTTGCCAAAATCCCCAGCTCAGTAAAAGTACTTGAGGATAGGTGCCTTGAAGAGCAGGGTTGACATAGAGTAGTGGTAAGCATGCTTTTGAGTGGTCTGTTTAACACCTAACACATCTCAGAACATATCATGTTACCAAAATTAAAACATTAGTCTTTGACATTATTTTTAAAACATCAGATTCAATTTTCAGGACAACCATTTTGATACTGAGTTTTCAGCTTGACTTGTTTACTTGAATAATACTTTCTCTGCAGTATCTATTCAAGAATTTCAAACAAATAAATTCTGAACTGCAGTAATGACAGTCAAAGCTTAGATATGTGTTTGTTTGCTTGATTGGTTGTTTTTTTGTAATGTAACTGAATTAAAGAACCAAAATATGTACCTAAGCGTAGCATGTGTTCTGCAGGTATCTGCTTAATTGGTTTATAAAGATAGGAAGCTAGAAATTTTTTTAAAATTTGCTAACATGGAGACTGGCTTAGCTGAAATGAAGACCTTCCATGCTTTTAATGTACTTCCTACCTGGGAACACACAAAGGGTTAGTCCATTTGCTCGAGGAAGGACTTTGCTGTTCACTATTCAAGCTGTTAGAAGAGTTAGCTGTGTGGCTCACAGGACATTAGGTGGCTTTGTCATTGAGTTTTCTGTTAATTTCCCAAACTAGATCGGGTTAGATGTGTCTGAAATGTGAAGTACAAGGCTTGAGGGAGACTATTGATGGTAGCAGAACACAAGAGAAACAGGTCAAAACTTCCCGTCCTTCTGCTGCTACTCCAGTGATGCTGCTTTCTAGGTTTAAGTATCTATTTCCTTTCCCAGAGTAAAGGCAATATAAAGCTGGAAATCTGTCTGGTCATTTAGGGCAGGACTGGAGGAAAATCAGAAATTGGGATCCAGTATTCTAAATCTAGGCCAGTGGCTTTAGCAGGATGATTTAAGGCTCAATCCTTGAACTCAGGGAGATAGGTAAGAAAGAGAAGCCAGATCTTTAAGCTGTCTGGTTAATGGAGTCTCTTAAGTAAAGCACTGAAATTGTTTGGAAAGCCTCTTACCAGTAATTGCAGCTGTTCTGTTGACTGCACAAATGAACTGGTTCATTCTGTCTGTCCCCTTTAAGTCTGTACTGCTGTCTAGCAGTTGATCGGATAATTTTTATTTTTAAGTAGCTATTCTATAATTCAGGACAATATTGATTGCAATGTCTATATAGGGAAGGGGGAAAACAGTAAAGTTTTATTGTGTTTGCAAACAAGTCCGTTGTGACCTTGCAATATAAAAGCAGGAGCACAGTTTGACCCTTCAGTGTAGGAAGACAGTGCTGAGGTATGAAGTGTACAGATTTATCTATGTCAAAGTAGAGAAGAAGAAAGCTCTGAAACCCAACTTGCTCGTTTGGTTCCTGCTGCCTCCTTTCCCATGTGTTTTGCAGGTAGTTGCCTGCTTTGCCAACAATATAACATATAGAAAAGCACAGTATATATAATACATAAATCTAGCATTATCATTGTCACTTACAAAAAAACCCTGAGAACGCCACCAGCTCAGAATGGTGCTGCTCTGAAGCTAAATTTTCACCAAGGTTTAGTCTGAGTGTAGTTGTAGTGACAGAATGGCTGATAAGAGCATAACTATGAACTGCTAGCAAAGCTGTACACCACAGTAGGTATCTCTGCTTGGAAATCCAGAAGCAAAATGTCAGGTTCATTTACCTTAACCTGGGAGGAGTGCTTTCTAGACTTAGGCATCCATAAAATGTGTCTGAAAGTTGTTGCATTTATGCAAGCTGTAAAATATCTCCCAATTACTGAGACATAATCATGTCACAGGTGAGGCATTTGCAGCCCACATGCACAAGTCCTGGCATACCTTTACTGGCTTCTGGGACTAGGAGCATAGTTTAAGGATACCTGAGAATCAAGTCAGCTTGGGTTGTCACTTCGGTCTCAGTGCCCACACTGTTAGAAATGTAGGACTGAAAGCAGCAGAAAAAAGGAGATAGTGATGGTGTGAAGTAAAAGCCCTGTTTGTGTTGAAAAAGGATGTGAAATAGGAGTTGGAAAAGGAGAGGAGGTGGGCTGAAGAAAAGAGTGCTAGGGGACTGGACCTGAGGAGGCACAGCACACTGCCTAATTTTTCAAATATATCTTCACAACAAAACTGAAATGCCTGCTTTACAGTGTCAAAATAATTTTCTGCTCCCTCAGAGTTGCTGTGTTTGTGCAGAGAGAAGGCCGCAACAGGGACCGCCAAGTTTTCAGTTGTCCAAACAAATCAAAATGTTTCAAATTGTCCTTTTAACAGCATGTTTCTTATAAAACATCCAGTACAGTCAGATTATATCACTAAAAACAAATATACAGTCAGGCATAAAGCCAGAGGATTAGCTACAGTTCTGGTTTATCGAGAACAACAATACTAGTATCAGAGCAGAGGGAACTGAAATACTCTAGCAGTTGGATACATGGTAATTAGTGGCTCCTTAATAAGTACTTGGTGAGAGGCTGACGTACTGGGTGTTCCCAGTAAGTGACTGAAAGACACATTGTTGGTGTGGCAGAAACTCACATCTGGGTTCAGAGCTGAATTCCTTCATCAGGTCCTTAGATCCTTAGCAAGTGTAGTTGCCTACTGCCTCTATGTTAATGCCTGTATCTCATGTGTATTGTTAACTGTGTCCAACATGGGGATAAAATGGTAATGCAAAGGCCTTGCCTACCCTGCCTGTCCCTCCCCAAGGTGTTTTAGAAGTACAGATTTTGTCACTAACATACTGGCATGAGCAGCTAGTTGTGTGCTGCACATATGCTTGTAGAGTCTGGGTTGGGATTAACTTCTTAAAATCAGCTGTATAGACTAGGCTAAAAAGAAACCAATGCTCCGCTTGCATTTGGAGGCTTTCAAATCCTGGATTCTAATCTAACTTTACAGCATGGTTACTCTCTAATTAAGGATTCTGTGGATTAGAAGCTGTGCCATGTCTAACCCCAATGTAAATAAGATATACTAGCTCTTTGCCTAGCAAGTATTGAATAACTGTTTTTAATGTATTAAAAAAAAAAAACAAAACCCACACAAAAAAACCCAAAAAACCCTAGCATTTCCTCTCTATACTATAAAAAAGAACAGCTTTGCCAGGATGTACTGAATCTTTTCACTGTAATGACAGACTTTCTTCATTTACTTCCATAGGAAATATTACATTTTATGAATGAGTCTATCAGTGTTTGACAAACTCTCACTTGAAGATACATCAATTACTTCCACTGATAAAAAGCCTACAATTGTTGTAAGTTGCAACTTTACTTTGCACAGCTAAGGACAAATATTACAAATCCTGCCAATCTGTCTATATTTACCCTGATTTCTTTTATGGTTCTGTTTTATGAAGTTTTATGGCTCTAAAGTAACTTGAAACTACCTTATTCAGTCTCACATTGACCTAGTCAACTAGTCCCATGTTTGTACTGTCCTAAACCTCATGTAGTTTTTACATTTGTGCAAGCTGCATGTACAATTTCAGAATAAGAGTATCCATGTTAATCCATAAGTCTTGGTTAGAAGAACAAAATATTTCT